GTGGAATGGCCCATATATATATATATATATATATATAAACCAAGTAGTCAGCTAGATCAGAATATCGGGAATTCACACACCTTTCTTAGCAGATTTCCGTTTCTCACTTCCTCCTTCAGTCTGAAACAGAGAACAATCTCTTCCTAATGATCACCAGTAAAAACAGAAATCCTTCAAGAATTGTGTAAACTACCTCATCTTCACCGTTACTGGCTTTTACCTCCTTTGGCTGTTTCGGCTGCCGAGGCTTCCGGGCCCTTGGTTCACCGTTAGCATGCCTCTTACTTTCATATTTTTCCTTCATATGCTCAAGTTTTGGAATAACACGAAGACCATTTGGGTCAGGCAAGACTTCCTACGTGAAATCAGTTGATGAGATTAATGTTATACGTGTACCAGAACAACTGGCACTCACTTTTATGCAGCTATTACCATTGATTCAAATGAAAGTAGTATACTTTTGCTAGAAGAGCTCCACCCTTTTTACGGCCTCCACCTGTGCCTTCCTTGGCTAATTTTTTCGTCGCGTTCTGTATTTGGGCATTCGTATCCGCAATTTCTTTGGCTTCCTACAAAAAAGTTATAAAAAACTGGAAAAGAAAGCAGTCACAGTGGTTTAAAAAGCGCAAAAGTGAACCTGCTTCTCCAGCTCAGCGAGAAAATAATCCAGGTCACTACTCCACATCTCAGCCCATGTAGTAGACTGAAGCTTCTGAAAATATAAATTTGATAATAGAAGTTTTCCAGTTGCACCCATTATTCGCTTCCTTAATCAAGTCCACTTACCTTTAACTCCTCTAATTTTGCATCGCTCTCGCGCAACAGTTTATTTTTTTCTTCTTCGGAAAGCTTCAAAATCGCCATACCAACCAAGTAGTCATAATCTTGGAGTTTTTTATCTGTATCTTTATTTGCGCTTTCGCCAGCGTTAGCATCCTAAAACATCAATAAATTAGGTTAAAAAACTGCAACCGAACACATAAATTGAGAGCTTTTCTAAACTCAGAACTATTAAAGTCACAATATTATAAAGTTAAGAAGCACTACCTCGTCACTAGGCGCTCCTTCCTCCTCATCGTCTTCAACCCCAACTTCACCAGACATTTCTAACTCCTTCTTTTTTATGTAATCTCGCCATTTCTTCACAGGATCTGGGTCAAAACCCTTCTTAACCAACTGCTCAACTATAGCAACCTTCCTTTTATTCTCAATAAGAATCTCCCCTTTAATCTTTGCTAAGATAAAGCGAGCC